CGGTCAGTGAAGACGAAGAAGAGAATGATGTGTGCTCCCGGCGCCTATTTATACTATAGTCGCACCGGTAGTGACGTCATGGCTGTCGCCGGCCAACGAGTTGGTGTTTTTTCAATGTATGCTTCAGACACGGGTCACGACGAGGCGTTCCCCATATCGACCCCTAGAGGACGCAGTTCGAAGTTCCCATGAAAGGGAACCACATTACATTTTGTGTATCATTAACAGTGCTGAAACAAACAAACAAAAAAACGTTGGCAACAATGCCATAGCGGCATAAGCAAAATATCTTTAAAAACATGCAAAATCAGTACAAAAACATATCTGTATGTAACCAGTGTTTCATAATTAATGATAATACTAAAATTAATGATCGTTCATAATTTTGTTTTAAAATAGACCTGACCTAAATATTTACCAAAATACTGATGCAACTTAATAATAATAATTAGCACCACACAATTACATAAAAATGTAAGTGAAACAAATTTTTGTTACATTGTGTAGTACATTATGACATGATGGTTCCCTTGACATTTCACAAACCTAATTAACGCTGATTAGTTTGTTTTAGTTGCTGAAGCATCTGAAATGTTCCTCTTCAGAAGTAGTGTTAACCGAATCCTGATAACATTACTAAAAAGTATGAAGTATTACTGTGATGAAGATACAAATCAAATATGAAATTCCAGTTCAGATTTTATCCATAAAATGCTGCTCATTTAATAAAATTGTGTTTAAGCAACTTGAAGTGAATGTGGAAACTAAACTAAATGTCTGGACAGAAATACATATTAAATGTGTTTGAACCTGTTTTGTTTCTACTTTCAAAAATGACTCAAACCCAAAGCCACTCATGTTGAGTCTTGTGGAGTGACTAAAAGAGTTTTTAACTTTCAAGTCATAAGAAACAAAACTGAACCTGGTGCATACAGTATCTGTTTTGATTTCAAAGGTCAAAGGAACAGAGATAGTGGACTATAGCAGAATAAATACTTATGAATGGTGATTAGTTTTGTATTAGAAATATGTGATTTTTACTGTACATGTACACAGAATTAGTATGAGAAGCTTCTGATTTTTTAAGCTATGGTAATGTCTCATCCAGTATTGGCTGATTGAAATAGCATGAACTATGTGATAGCACAAATCACAGAAATGAATATGAAAGTTAATTTTCACCTCCACCTACTGGACAACACGTAGAGATAATATAAACATGAAATTAAAACTCACAGTTGCCTAAAGACCTGCTCACTGTGCATTTCTTAATTTATTGAATTCTGAAGTATCATTCACAAACTAAATCAAAACGACAGCGAAGTGGAAGTAGGCAAATCCAGTGTTCTTTAAATGAAAAACCTAAAACTTTAAAGTTTTTGAATTTGTATAAAGAGTAATTCCTAAATTTTAGGGGTTCCTCAGGGTTCAGTGCTTCGCTTCCCGGGTTTGTGACATCACAAACCCAGATAAACCCAGCCCTCGGGAAAAGGAAGCAAAGGGGGCGAGGCCATGCTGCGTTGCTTTAGAGAGGAGAAAGAGAAAACTAGGGGTGCACGTAAAAATCTATTCTTATATGAATCGCGATTCTGTCTTCTAACGATTCTAATGGATTCACAAGATTCAAAATCAATGTTCTAAAGCAGCGGTTCTAATCCTGTTCCCCCTGCTCTGCACACGCTCTGCTCTGCTTCATCTCTCTCTCTCTCTCTCTCTCAATCTCTCACTCAGATCATCAGCAGCTCCAACAATGAACTGTTCCAATTATTTTCACATAGCTATGAGAAGCATTAAACATGGATGTGCGTGCAGTTGCCGTACTGTATTAAAGCTTTAATCAGGATAAAACTGTATATTAAAAGCTAACATAAGCAGTCAAAAAACATAGAAAAAAAAACAGTTAACCACCCCTTTAAAATAGTTATGAATTGCCATGAGAGAATGTTGGCCTTGACTAACATTATTTTCTTGTTTAAATGTAATTTTTTAAAAACTGTGTTAAAATGATAATACATAGTAAGTAAGCATGTCCCGTGAGATATTCATTTCGTGGGGAGGGATTGTAGGTTTTTCAGCAAGCATGTCGACCAGCTCCCACTCTCCTTTAGTTGTCATCGCTTCAAGAGAATCTTTGAATGCTTCCTCCACCGGTATATCAAAGGACAACTGAACATCCAGCACTACAGAGAAGACCAAAAAATGAGAGTTATTGGGGTCATACCACATGGTAGTTATAAGAGAAATTCAATTGACTCTTCAGTCAAGAAAACTTACCAGTGTGCTGGTATGAATTAAAGGTGAATGTGCAGTTTTGAATATCAAATGGAAAGGTATAGATGTCCAGGTTACAAGAACTGATGACATGAAATGGAAGATCATCCATTACCTTGCCAGTATATTCAACGTAGAGGTAATATGTGTCTGGGACTTTATTTTCATCAATGCTTCAAAGTAAAAAGTAGGTATGGGTGTTATATTCTTTCTGGTATCCATGCAAAGCGTTGAAGTTTTTTTTAATAAAAAAAAAAGTCTCCAAAATCAAGGAATCAAGATTCAGAAATACAGATATGTTTAAACTCACAATTCATTGATGATAATATCAGGCCTCCACAGTTGTTTTCGTGGTATTGAAATTCTGTCTGTTCCACATTTAACAGGATCCCAGCTCAAGCCTTCAATATTCCAAACCTACAGAACACAAAATGTTATTATCAGTAAATTTATCAGTAAACATAGATCCAACAGATCTACTAGTGGGTCTCCAGCAAGGTCACTATACCATCGAGGCCTATACTTATTTCTTCTGTGTGCGGATTAGCCAGTCAAGCAATGTCTGCCAAGAAGCATATGTGACTTCAACCTTGAACAATATGTTGACTTGGCCTTACGACTTTGTCTTTCTCCTTACAATATGGGCTATGGCTCACTATCCCCCGTAAATCCCAGTGTTTCCCTCTCAGCACTCAGATTAGCCAGTCAAGCAATGTCTGCCAAGAAGCATATGTGACTTCAACCTTGAACAATATGTTGACTTACGACTTTGTCTTTCTCTTTACAATATGGGCTATGGCTCACTATCCCCCGTAAATCCCAGTGTTTCCCTCTCAGCACTCCCAAGACCACTGGTCTCTGTGTTCCCTGGCCTCGTAGTCCATTGGTCTATGTGCTCCTTGGCCTGGTAGTCTCAAGTCCATTGGTCTCTGTGCTCCTTGGCCTAGTGGTTCCAAGTCTGATGGTCTCTGTGCTCCTTGGCCTGGTGGTCCCAAGTCCATTGGCCTCTGTGCTCATTGGCCTGGTGGTCCCAAGTCAATTGGTTTCTGTGGTCCCAAGTCCACTGGTCTCTGTGCTACCTAGCCCAGCAGTCCCAAGTCTGATGGTCTCTGTGCTCCTTGGCCTGGTGGTCCCAAGTCCATTGGTCTCTGTGCTTCTTGGCCCAGTGGTTCCAAGTCTGTTGGTCTCTGTGCTCCTTGGCCTGGTGGTCCCAAGTCCATTTGTAACTGTCAAAGACATGTTTTCAAATAGATGTGCATTTATATGTTTCTGTTATAAATTTATATCAATTTGAGTTAATTCATTGTTTAAATATATTTGATTAAAACGTATGAATGTGATTTACAAGGTAAGAAGTAGAGAATGTGCTCCCTTAAAATGTTTAAAGTGAGGGGTACTTTAAAAAAGATATTATTGAAACGTAATAGGTCACATGTCCAGCTTGAGTTGAGCGCGGGACTGTTTCATTAATGTTCAAACTAACATGGATGTAGAGAAACTCTGATGGTATACAGCCTGAAAAAGAGTTCCTTTATCTGCATGGTCTAAGAGGGCGCACATGGTAATTCATCTTTAAATGTGTTGCATAATGTTGTTTTATATCACTTTACGTGAACAATGTGATTTGTTAATAGTGATGTCATTGGATTTGAATGTGTCACATGTGTTCACTTGCATGTCAGTGGACATTTACATAAGAGACTTGAAAAGGACCATAATAAATGCATATTTTGAGCATTATATGCTTTTATTTCTTGTAGTATTCACAGTGTCTGCTGAAAAGAGTGATAAATAAACAGTAAAAATACATCTGTATGAAGTGTGGCTATTATTTCATAAGACCAGTGCAGCTACACCATTGGTCTCTGTGCTCATTGGCACGGTGGTTCCAAGTCTGATGGTCTCTGTGCTCTCTAGCTGGTGGTCCCAAGTCCATTGGTCTCTGTGCTTCTTGGCCCAGTGGTTCCAAGTCTGTTGGTCTCTGTGCTCCTTGACCTGGTGGTCCCAAGTCCATTTGTAACTGTCAAAGACATGTTTTCAAATAGATGTGCATTTATATGTTTCTGTTATAAATTTATATCAATTTGAGTTAATTCATTGTTTAAATATATTTGATTAAAACGTATGAATGTGATTTACAAGGTAAGAAGTAGAGAATGTGCTCCCTTAAAATGTTTAAAGTTAGGGGTACTTTAGAAAAGATATTATTGAAACGTAATAGGTCACATGTCCAGCTTGAGTTGAGCGCGGGAATGTTTCATTAATGTTCAAACTAACATGGATTTAGAGAAACTCTGATGGTATACAGCCTGAAAAAGAGTTCCTTTATCTGCATGGTCTAAGAGGGCGCACATGGTAATTCATCTTTAAATGTGTTGCATAATGTTGTTTTATATCACTTTACGTGAACAATGTGATTTGTTAATAGTGATGTCATTGGATTTGAATGTGTCACATGTGTTCACTTGCATGTCAGTGGACATTTACATAAGAGACTTGAAAAGGACCATAATAAATGCATATTTTGAGCATTATATGCTTTTATTTCTTGTAGTATTCACAGTGTCTGCTGAAAAGAGTGATAAATAAACAGTAAAAATACATCTGTATGAAGTGTGGCTATTATTTCATAAGACCAGTGCAGCTACACCATTGGTCTCTGTGCTCATTGGCACGGTGGTTCCAAGTCTGATGGTCTCTGTGCTCATTGGCACGGTGGTTCCAAGTCTGATGGTCTCTGTGCTCTCTAGCTGGTGGTCCCAAGTCCATTGGTCTCTGTGCTCCCTAGCCCGGTGGTCCTAAGTCCATTGGTCTCTGTGCTCCCTAGCCCGGTGGTCCTAAGTTCATTGGTCTCTGTGCTCCTTGGCCTGGTGGTCCCAAGTCCTTTGGTCTCTGTGCTCCTTGGTCTGGTGGTCCTAAGTCAATTGGTTTTTGTGGTCCTAAGTCTACTGGTGTCTGTGCTCCATAGCCCAGCAGCCCCAAGTTCACTGGTCTTTCTGCTCCCTAGCCCAGCAGTCTAAAGTCCGTTGGTCTCTGTGCCCTTTGACCTGGTGGTCCAAAGTCCATTGGTTTCTGTGCTTCCTAGCTGGTGGTCCTAAGTCCATTGGTCTCTGTGCTCCTTGGCCTGGTTGTCCCAAGTCCTTTGGTCTCTGTGCTCATTGGCCTGGTGGTCCCAAGTCAATTGATTTCTGTGCTCCCAAGTCCATTGGTCTCTGTGCTCCCAAGCCCGGCAATCCCAAGACCATTGGTCTCTGTGCTCCTTGGCCTGGTGATCCAAAGTCCATTTGTTTCTGTGCTCTTAAGTCCATTTGTCTCTGCGCTCCCTAGCCCAGTGGTCCCAAGTCTGATGGTCTCTGTGCTCCTTGGCCTGGTGGCCCAAAATACATTGGTTTCTGTGCTTCTTGGCCCAGTGGTCCCAAGTCTGACGGTCTTTGTGCTCTCTAGTCCGGTGGTCCAAAGTCCATTAGTTTCTGTGCTCCTTAGCCCGGTAGTGCCAATTTTAATGGTCTTTCTGCTCCCAAGCCCAGTGGTCCAAAGTCAATTGGTCTCTGTGCTCCTTGGCTCGGTGCTCCCAAGTCCATTGGTTTTTTTGTGCTCCCTTGCCCAGTGGTCCCAAATCTGATGGTCTTTGTGCTCCCTGGCTCGGTAATAATAAAATAAACTAAACAGTTTCTGAACTCACTGAGCTCCCTGTCACAGCCATAGAGGAAGCCCCTGAACTCCCTGTCCCCTGTGCTCCCTGTCTCTGCACCTACCATGGCCTCCAGATCCCCAGTGGTCTTCAGCTCCACCTTGATCTCTGGCTCCACCCTGACTTTCCACTCCGCTGACCTCGCCATGGTCTCCAGCTCTACTGGCTCCACCGTGGTGGTTTCCATCTATTCTGTGGTGTTCCTAAGCTCCACCGGCTCCACTGTGGTCTCCTGCTCCACCGGCTCCACTGTGGTCTCCTGCTCCTCCGGCTCCACTGTAGTCTCTTGCTCTGCTGGCTTCCCAGTGGTCATCTGTTCCACTGTGGTGGTTCTCATCTCCACTGCCCCACTGTGGTGGTTCATGGATCTGTCTTCTCTACCATGTTAGTTTCCTCCTCTGCCATGTCTTCCTGCTCCACCAGTGTTCCCAATCCTCCCCCTGGTCCACCTCTGCTCCTCCACCCTCGTGGACTTTTTATTGTTGTCCTTAATTGGGGATTATGTAATGTTTTGTCTGTTCTCTGTGGTCTTGTTTTATAGTCTTTTAGTTTGTAGTTTGCCCTGTTATGTTCCTGTTACCTGTGCCTTATTCATCTTATTAGCAAATGTAAGCCCTAGTGTTCTAGTGTTCTTTGCTAGATCTTGTCCTTTCTGTGGACGTTGTGTTCGATCAATCAGTTCTTTGTGTTCTTGGTGTTTTTGGATGTCTGTACTTTTGTTATTTTCGTTATTAAATCTCTACCTGCAATTGGATCCTGCTCTTATATTATCTCTGAGTCTCCTGCACATTACACCTTTTTGCTCTTTTGTACTGTTCTCTTTTCTTAAGTTAAAATGAATTAGTTTCATTAATTTATCAGTTAATAAAATAAGAGATATTGCTGCAGTTGCAGTATGACTTACCAGATTCACCCAAAGGAATGTGTTAAGTTTCTGTGCTTTTTCATCCTGAAAGAGAAAAACTGACTTGATTTAGTCACTATTACCAATAAGCAATTGCCATTCATAAACTAGTTAGCAGTATGGCGGGTTGGCACCTTTACTTGAAGTCATGAAATTATACAATCTTAAGTATTACAGTACATGTAGTAGTGTTGAAATAAATGTTTATAATCTATTGTTTTATAAAATGTAATTTCAAACTGAATTATTTAAAGAGCCTTTATAGATGTGTATGGAATGCAAGATTGGTTGCAAATGGTTGAGCACAGTTTCTAATGTAATGAATACTGATTTTGTGTGGCCATAATTGAGAATTGTTAGATTTATTAGAACTTACCACATCTAAAATCCCATACAGAGTGAAGCTCACACTGATGTTGGTGGGAGTTTTCAGGTTAATAACTGGCCTTATTTCAGTTTTGCCAAAGATATTTTCCTTCAGGGCTGTTATGAGACCATCTGTAGTGGGTTCAGAGCAGTTGATGGTCTCCGCGGATTTCACCATTAGAGCTGGATGAATAAAATTGCAAATTAAATATTACAGGTTTTGTCTGTTGTATTGTCAAATTCTGGGTTAAAGGAAACATTAACTAACACTTAACACTAACACACACAACCTTAACACTATTTTTAGCTGTTTTTTTCTTAACAATTAAAAAATATATTATTTATATGTAAATGATTCTTGTTGTAAACATAATTAATAATGTAAACCATCAATGATTACAACACTATTAATACAAATATGTACATTAATTATAATTTACATTATTTGTAAAGTTGCAAATGTTAATAATGTAAATCACGGATGTTTACTACATTAATATAAATAAAAACATTAAGAGTCATGAATCAAATTATATACAAACTGCTGTAGGTTTTTGGTTGTTGGTTCTTACATAGAGTCTATGAATTTGAAATTAATTTTTTCTTACACTGCATGATGAGACAGCAGATAATGAACTGGAAATGTGGAAGAATAGCTGTGAATCCAGCAGCCTGTTATAATGGTGTTAACAGACACTTCAATATTATACACTTTAATAAAGCACTACTAGTTAGCAGTATGGCGGGTTGGCACCTTTACTTGAAGTCATGAAATTATACAATCTTAAGTATTACAGTACATGTAGTAGTGTTGAAATAAATGTTTATAATCTATTGTTTTATAAAATGTAATTTCAAACTGAATTATTTAAAGAGCCTTTATAGATGTGTATGGAATGCAAGATTGGTTGCAAATGGTTGAGCACAGTTTCTAATGTAATGAATACTGATTTTGTGTGGCCATAATTGAGAATTGTTAGATTTATTAGAACTTACCACATCTAAAATCCCATACAGAGTGAAGCTCACACTGATGTTGGTGGGAGTTTTCAGGTTAATAACTGGCCTTATTTCAGTTTTGCCAAAGATATTTTCCTTCAGGGCTGTTATGAGACCATCTGTAGTGGGTTCAGAGCAGTTGATGGTCTCCGCGGATTTCACCATTAGAGCTGGATGAATAAAATTGCAAATTAAATATTACAGGTTTTGTCTGTTGTATTGTCAAATTCTGGGTTAAAGGAAACATTAACTAACACTTAACACTAACACACACAACCTTAACACTATTTTTAGCTGTTTTTTTCTTAACAATTAAAAAATATATTATTTATATGTAAATGATTCTTGTTGTAAACATAATTAATAATGTAAACCATCAATGATTACAACACTATTAATACAAATATGTACATTAATTATAATTTACATTATTTGTAAAGTTGCAAATGTTAATAATGTAAATCACGGATGTTTACTACATTAATATAAATAAAAACATTAAGAGTCATGAATCAAATGATATACAAACTGCTGTAGGTTTTTGGTTGTTGGTTCTTACATAGAGTCTATGAATTTGAAATTCATTTTTTCTTACACTGCATGATGAGACAGCAGATAATGAACTGGAAATGTGGAAGAATAGCTGTGAATCCAGCAGCCTGTTATAATGGTGTTAACAGACACTTCAATATTATACACTTTAATAAAGCACTGAACAACGCTATAAACTTTAAATATTGCATTACTATTTCATGACTATGTCTTACCTGAGGTCTTGAGAACAAAAATAAAGCCATCAGCTGAAGAACGAGAAGGCAGATAACAGTAAAGGTGCTATAAAATATATATTAGGCTTTTACCTCACAGTTTCATGATCTCTGTGAGGACTGAAATGGACCTCAGGGAAACTATATACAAAAACTGCTTAGACAAAAATTTGCTTAGACAAACTAAAACCAAAAGAGACCTTTGACCACAACATTTCCATTTATTTCATAATCCCAGAATACAGAAGAAACAACATGCAAAGCACAATATATGCAACGTAAAACCCACAATAAAAATATAGTGGTTTCTATGGTAGCGTACTGTTTTACATTAAGCAGGGCTGCAGTGAATTCAGTGAAAGTGAAAGATTAAAACTTACAATAATCGATTAACAAAGAGTAGAAGTCAACCGATAAGCTTAATCTTGCGGCAGTAACAAGTTGTTAATTTTAGTGAATATTACAAATTTACCTCACAGTTTCATGATCTCTGTGAGGACTGAAATGGACCTCAGGCAAACTATATACAAAAACTGATTTGCTTAGACAAACTAAAACCAAAAGAAACCTTTGACCACAACATTTCCATTTATTTCATAATCCCAGAATACAGAAGAAACAACATGCAAAGCACAATATATGCAACGTAAAACCCACAATAAAAATATGGTGGTTTCTATGGTAGCGTACTGTTTTACATTAAGCAGGGCTGCAGTGAATTCAGTGAAAGTGAAAGATTAAAACTTACAATAATCGATTAACAAAGAGTAGAAGTCAACCGATAAGCTTAATCTTGCGGCAGTAACAAGTTGTTAATTTTAGTGAATATTACAAATATTTTCAATAATATAGTAACTTAGAAGATTTTGAGCAATGAAATCAATCTCAGTTGGCTTGACTGCAGATGCCAAGCCGACAGGCTTCACAGTGAGCACTTTCATGTGGCCCATTAAATCTTCCACCAAACACTGAGGATCTGTTCGTTTGACCCAGGTCTTCTCCATAGCATTTCCTGCGGATCTTTTTAACCAGTCTCTCAACTAGCACATCAATGTTCTCTACTGGGAAGTTTGGATCCTCCCACTGAGCTTCATTGCACGTCCTACACTCCTGTTTGTAGCATCGTAGTGTAAAGATTCCCTGTCTGCTTGCTGTGTTCAGATGGAAATGAAACACCACCTGCACTCTACTAGACCCCCAGGTTCTTCTACAAAGAGAACACCTGAAACTACAATCGAAATGGAAAATAAATCACTTTATGCATCTACTGATACTTCCATTCCATATGATTTAATTATTAAATAATTTATTATTATTATTATTATTTATATTGGCTGGTGGTATTTGGCACCTTTATGTAGTATTTCAAAATAACCATTTCATTTATGTAATTTTAAGTTTGATCTGATAACATTTATACACTGTAGTAGCAGTTTAACTGTAATAAAATAGTTGTGAGGTTTATGTGTGTTTATGTGTAGATTTCTGAATACTGTACTTCCTACATTTCATTTTCATTCCATCAAAATATCTAATAAAAATCAATAAGCAGCCTATTTTTGTTGATGGCTTAACTAAATTATCTGTTTAAAAAGTATAGTAACACTTTACAATAATGTACCATTTGTTAACACTAGTTAACTACATTAGTTAACATGATCTACATTTACTAATCATCTTAAAACTCAAAAGCTGTATCTGTTAATACTAATTAACAAACCTGAGCTAACATGAACTAATAATGAACAGTTGTATTTGTATTAACTAACATTAACAATGATTAATGCATACATCATAAATCTTAATACAGTAAAAACACTGTTTAATATCTTTTACTGTGGTAAAGTTGTGCTCTTACTCTGCAAAGGAGCCAGAAATGTACTGGTGCCAATTAGGAGCTAGACTGTTTTCCACAATAGTCTGATCAGTTTCAATATTCCAGGTGTCACCATGAAGATCACTTGCTTTCTTCTGTAAAGAACTGTTCCACAGCAATATCATGTCTGTTTTCTCACAGAGATCTCATAGGAATGAATATGAATGAACTCACTTTATATTTATACTGTAGCTATCTCTCAAACCACAGAAACAAAACTGAAACTACAAGTATGTATCTGTTTTCTACAACACAAAAGTGAACACTGCTTTTTAAAGTAACAGAGATGGTGAATAAGGAATATGGCAGAATAAGCACTTATGACCAGTAATCATCATATCAATTTATACATGAATGGTATTTATTGTTTTATTGTGTATATATACAGAGAAGTAATTTAAGAACTTCCTTGTCTTCCTATAGCTGGTTACATAAACTGCTTAGACTAGTCTTACAAGTTAGTCACCTGATTTTTTAAAATCTTAAAGACAGGTCATAAGACAGTTACATAAAAAGGTAGATTGATCTAATTACAATTTGATAAGTAAGACTGATTAAGACTTGGTTAACTGCTAGTTGGTCAGACTGTACCAGTCCGATACATAACCCCAAAATCAGTGTTGAATCTACATTTCATATTTCCACCCAGTTGGCTCAACGAAGGTATCCAGGAAAGTGCACACCCTCTGCAGTAAACAAAATATCTCTGAACCCTTAGAATCTGTATTACCTTATAGCAGGGCTCTTTAACTCGGCTCCTGGAGGGCCAGTGTCCTGCAGAGTTTAGTTCCAACCCTAATTAAACCCACCTGACCAAGCTAATCAATGTATTCAGGACTATTTAAAAATGATGAACAGGTGTGCTGGATAAGGGTTGGAAGTAAACTATGCAGATCACTGGCCCTCCATGACTTGAATGAGTTATTGATCAATCAATCAATGCAGTTGTTATTGCTTTACCTCCACCTACTGGACAATATGGTATATGCAAAAGGAATATACAAGCTGTGTCCCAAACTGAAGTGCGATTGCGTCACAGCGGTGCGACGAAGGTTGTCCCAAACTGAAGTGTGCTGACTACAAAGTGCGCATTTGAAGTGCGATTGCGTCACAGCGTCACAACGTAAGCCGTCCCAATTCAGAATGCGCCCTCTGAAGACCGCATTCCAAGGCCGATTGCGTCACCGTGGCGCGACGAAGGCTGACGTATTTCGAAAGCGACTTCAAATGCGCCCTCCGTTTCCCAGGAAAATGAAGTGTACATCTGATGGACACTTCGCACCCTACCATATCCCAGAATCACTTGCGAGCAGATGACGACGGTGTTTCTATTCAAAGAACACAGCGGGTGAGAGTTCTGTGGGGGAATTCACATTGAAATGTAAGTATTGTGTTTTCATTTACTCAAATACCTAGCGAAACAAGTGTTAAAAGCCAGGGGTTTTTTTAACACAAAGCCCACAAACAATAAGACAACCACTATATAAGGCAATAGTCTTTCCCTTTTTTGTGTTTTTGTAGTGCTGTCTTGCAAGATATGTCTACAAATGTTTTAACCAAACTTTAGCACTTCAGTATTTTGTATGCATGTCCTGCTGTGTCATATTTTCTAATGTTAAGATTGCAACCTGTCTTTATATTTTTCATAAGTGTTTCCATTTTCTCCTGTTTTAGTACTATTCTGGAGAAAATGAGCCTGCTGGGGAAAGACTTAAAAAATACAAAGTAAGCAAGTTAATACAAACATTTTTGCTGAAATTCATTGTGCCGTTGTTGTTAACAGGCATGGTTTATTTGCTCTGCCTTAGGATCATTCTCTATTAGGCAAGAGGAAGCAGTGGAAAAAATGGATACATTACAATTTTTCAATATCTTTTTTAAATGTCACATTGTCAATGAAACAACCTAATTTCTGTAGTTTATTTTTGTGATGTAAGTTAAAAATAAAATGAATAAGTTGTATACATTATTCATTTTTGTAGTGTAATTTATTTGTA